AGTCGCTGCCGTCCCGCAGCTGGGATCACTGTGCGTGGGCCGCGCCTGCCAGGCCCCCCGGCCTGAAAGTCGCGCCTCCAGAGCCACGAGTTAGGGACGGCGACGGCGTGACCCGTTGCGAAAGCCCCGCGCGTCTCCTGGGCTTTTAAGGGATATCGTAGAAGTGGCCATGGCCCCGAGGAGACGTCTCGTGTGTTTTGTCCCGCGCGGGCGCCCGTCTGGCTTTAGCGTCCGTGGAGCCGCAGCCCCGAGGCTGTGAGGAAGTTCCTCTTTGCACCTTGCCCGAAACGCCGCTTCCCGACTGTGTGGAGAGCCGGTGGCGAAGGGCTACGCGGGCATCCCGGCTTCGTGAGGACGCGGCTTTGTAACCACATCTGTCTTTGGTGGCGAGACTTAGCACTCGTGACACTCTCTGAAAGGTGAATACTAGGGCTTTTTTACAAAGAAGTCGTCAGTCGCTCTTACTTGAAGCTTTTTTTTTTTTTTTATAGCGGTAAAGTCTGATCCCCCCCCCTTCCCCGTGAAAGACGTATCTTGTTGAGTCATGACAAGGTGATCTAACTTTGGATGTGCTTATAGGCCCATGGGACGTGCATGTGCACAGGGATTTGGCAAAGGACCTAGGTTAGTGCTTGTGATGATCACTTCAGATTTTCATAATACTGGTTTATTTAGGAGTGGTTTCTTTGTTTTATTTATGCATTCATCTGTTTTATTTGGTAGATGAAAATGAAGTTGAAAGGCCGGAAGAAGAAAATGCCAGGTTAGTGGACTTTCCTGTCAATGCCTACACAGCTAGGGTGGTACAGAGTTCTATCAGCAAACTCTTGAGATTATTTCATTATGATCTTTGGGTTGATTACAGCATTTTGACGTAGAATATTTTGGAGTACATTCACTCCTTTAAGGTTTGTTTCTGTTTCAGGACCTAATCTTTTACCAATTCTATTTATTTGCTAGTAGCTTACAGGACAAAGAGTTTGACTGCTTTTCCCTCTTAAGTAACTTTTAGTCTTAAGTGAATTCAGTGGTGGAGTATCTGATAGCCATTAAACTACTGAGAAACTTTTTTTATTTTTTTTTTAGTTGGACTCTCACTCTGTCGCTCAGGCTGAAGTGCAGTAGCATGCTCACACCACCACAGCCTCAACCTGTTGGGTTCAGGCGATCCTTCTGCCTCAGCCTTCCAAGTAGCTGGGACTACAGGTGTGTACCACCACACCCAGCTAATTTTTTGATTTATTGTAGAGATGAGGTCTTGCCATGTTGCCCAGGTTGGTCTCAAACCCTAGGCTCAGGCAATCCTCTTTGCCTTTGCCTCCCAAAGTGCTGGGATTATAGGCATGAGCCACCACTCCTGGCTGAGAAACATATTTTAACTTAATTTTTAATATTTTAAGTAAATAAGGAACCCTGAAAATAACTGCTTTTACAACTTACTATATTTTTTGATGGTGTGATGGTACTTTGGTTATAATTGCAGTGCTTTTATATTTATTTAAATTCAAAGAGGAGTTAATTTGTTATAAGGTGATTTCTCTTGTTAAATTATTAGACAAATATAAGTATATATACGTATTCAGGTAAAAGCTAGATACAAAGAGTCAGAAGTTTACTCTAAATTTTAAAACAACTCTTGCAAAGAAATACATGGATATACTGACATGACCCTGACTGGATTCCTTGTCCTATAATGGGGTGGGGGGTGGGGGTGTAATTTTAAAAAGCTTTTAGAAAATATTTGGGCTTAAAAAGTGGAGGAAATGCCACTTCACACTCAGGAGACTGTAATCAAAAAGATAAAGCGGGTTGGTGAGGATATGGAGAAATTGGAATCCTCATGCACTGCTGGTGGGATTGTATGGTGGTGCAGCTGCTTTGGAGGCCAATTCGGCAGTTTTTTCAAAGGGTTAAACATGGAGATACTATATGATCCCTGCCTTAGCGCAGTGGAGACATTCGTCCATACACAAATGTGTACATGAGTATTCACAGCAGCATTATTCATAATAGTCAAAACATGGAAAAACCCGTGTTCATCAAGTGATGAATGGGTAGATAAAATGTATTGTATCCTTGCAGTGGAATACTATTTGGCAGTGAAAATAAATGAAGTACTAATACATGTTACAATGGGATGAACCTTGAAGACATGCTAAGTGAAAGAGCCAGTCCATAGAGACAGAAAGATTAGTGGTTGCTGGGACTGGGAGGCATGGAGTTGGTGACCACTTCTGTGTACAAGGCTTCTTTGGGGGGTGATGCAGATATTCTGAAATTAGGTAGCTGTGGTGGATGCACTTTGTAAAGAGCATACCAAAGCCCATTTTGTTGTACCATTTGGATGGATGGTGTTGTATGTGAGTTGTAACTCAATAAAGGTCTTAGAACAAGAAATGGCTAGAGGGAAGACGTGAGAAATGAAAGTAGAAAAAGCTTGGGAAGAACTGGAGTTGTGGTTTAGCTTCTGCACCCAAATGTATGTCCTGTATTCTTTTCACTCATTGATGTGTCGTCTGGAATTTTATCATTTATTATTGAAATTTATGTATTCAACTCAGTTCCTAAGTCCAGTCTCAGTTAACCACAAAGTTGAGATTAGTGTTTATGAAAGTGATTGGATATTTTTTTATACTCATTTCTTCAGTTGGTCAAGAAATTGACTATAGGGTTTAGCTTCACAATCAAATACACATTTAAAAAAATAAGATCATCTTTATCCCGTTACTTTTTATTATTTTGGTTGCAATTCTCAAACTTTACTTTCTGGTTCAGCTTTCTTGAATTCCTCAGAACACGAAATTTGTTGGAAGGGGAAGCCTTCTCCTGCCTTCCCTGAGTGTCATCGTCAGCATTTCTTACATTCCTTTTTAAAACTTCATTTGGAGAGCAATTGAGTTTAGTTTACCCCATGGGGAAAAAAGTCTACCTTTAAAATTTTACTTTTCCAGAAAAAGCTTATATTTTTATCATGTGTCTAAGAGTTTATTGGTGACAGAAAATTAAAACTTCTGAAAGAGTAGGCCTGCTGGTACAGGAGCTCTGCCAACCTGCTGACTCCTGGCGATGTGGCTCATGGCATGACCCGGCCTCGGTGCCTGCTGTGAGGGTTTCCCTCGGCTTCTTGATGACTGTTTCATTGCTGCAGCCTCTGTTCTTGGTCATTGCATTATGCTGTCTCCAATTTTGTTATGTTTTATCTACCCAAGTTTTGGCTAAACATAGGATGCTCTTTTGTGACATAGAAAGCAAGTGGAACTGTTTCTGGCTAACTGGCAGTTTATTTAAGCAGAAAATGTACTGAAGAATTCTAACTGCATATGTTTTCTTGAATCAAGAAGTAAAACAATGAAAATTTTGCAGTGAAGTTTCCAGTTTTTATCTCTCATTTTGCTTTAATTGGTGATTGTGTTAGAAAATGCCATTGTAGAGATTAAAATAATTTACATAGAAACTGCCAGACAGAAAGTGAAGTTTGAAACAGATTACAGAAATTTAATGAAGAGCACTAAACTATGTCAGCATCTGGACATTTTTCTTCGAAATGCTACCAAATAATTCTGAGACTTGAGCCAAATCAGTTAGTTAGTTGCTTTGTATTTCAATTTTCCTTTTTTTTTTGAGTCAGAGTCTCACTTTGTAGCCCAGGCTGGAGTGCAGTGGCACGCTCATGGCTATCGCAGCCTCCACCTGCTGGGCTCAGGCAATCCTTCCACCTCAGCCTTCCGAGTAGCAGGAACTACAGATGCATGCTACCATGCCTGGCTTATTTTTTGATTTATTGTAGCAAGTTGACCAGGCTGTTCTCGAACCCCTGCGCTCAGGCAGTCCTCTCGCCTCGACCTCCCAAAGTACTGGGATTACAGACTTGAGCCACTGTACCCTGCTTCAGTTTTCTTATCTGTAAAATGAGGTGAGAGTTAATTCCCAGTGTTGACATTACAATTACTAGAAATGTAAAAAACCAGTGTCGCTGTAGGATTATGAGTGTTTTTTGTTGGTAAATGCCGTAGACATGCTTGAGTCTCATGGGAATGTAGGTTTTTTATTGGTATATATCAGTTATGTTGTGAAAGGACAAGTTCCAATGTTCACCAACCTTAAAGTAAGTTGTTTTAAAGTTCATCAAAAGTAACTGCTTATTAGTACCAAATCAGAGTCTTGCATGAAGATAAATTTTTTTTGTTGTTCATTCGTTTTGTTGTTTTTTTTTTTGAGTTGGAGTTTCAGTCCGTCGCCCAGACTGGAGTACAGTGGCCGCTCCTGGCCACCGCAGCCTCGACCCATTGGGCTCTGGCAATCCTTCCACCTCAGCCTTCCAAGTAGCCGGAATTTCAGGCGTGTGCTACCACGCCCGGCTGATTTTTGATTTATTGTAGAGATGAGGTCTCACCAAGTTGCCCGGGTGGGTCTCGAACTCGCAGGCTCAGGCAGTCCACTCACCTCAGCCTCCCAAAAGCGCGGAATTACAGGCTGAGCCACTGAGCCCGGCTGAAGATAAATTTTTTAAAATCTTGAAATTTTATTTTTATACAACAAAGGATAAAAAGAAATATCCAGTAAGATTGATGAAACAGTAACAGGAAGAAGAATATATTAATGAAATACAAAAATAGTCCATGTGATCATATCACAAATTTCAGTTCTTTGAACCCCAGGGAAAGGAGGAAATTGTGTGTGTTACATAGTTCTTGGCATTTACAGTGGCACCTGGCACGCAGTGGATGGTCAATAAAGATTAAGGATAAGTAAAATGATTCAGGGTGTTGTATATTTTTAAAAGTGTAACAGACTTGAATCATATACTACTATCACATTGGAAATGCCTCCACAATTGGTTAATAATTTGCCTTCTACTGAAAATATTGAATATTTGTTTTAATGCAAGACACTAGGAATAACAAGGTGTAAGAGAGTCAAATTTTACCATACTTGCCCTTACCATCCAGTGGAGACAGTAATTTTAGGAAACTTTACCAGATGTAGCTTAAAAATAATGCTAGTGTAATATGTCTGTACTTCTGAAAATTAGTAGCTAACACGTATGCTTACTTTGTTGTTTGTAGTGCTAACCCTCCTTCTGGAATTGAAGATGAAGCTGCTGAAAATGGTGTCCCAAAACCGGTAACATAAGGCTATGTAATCCAGTTACTTCCCTGTTTAAAATCTTTACCAATAACTTCACAGTTCACTTAGAAAGACTTTCAGTAGCCTGGGTTATCTGGCCCCCTCTGATATCTCCTGCTTCATCTGGTGCTATCAAAAGCATTTTGATGTAGAAGTTAAATTAGCAAAGGAGAAGAAATGATAGAAAGATTTTAGAAGGGATAGAACATTTGCAGAAACTTGAGGGTTATTGCTTTCAGGGAACTGAATGGTCAATGGATCATTTTAATAGATTATAGAATGCCAGGTTTTCAAAGCAAATATTGAGTCCTATAACCTTAATTTGAAAATGTTACGGTTTTTTAGCAGTGGTTTTTAATATACAGTAATCCCCTACATGTGAACGAGTTCTGTTTCGAAAGAGCATTCATAAGTTCAATTTGTAAGTCCAACAAAATTAGCCTAGTTGTTCAATTGGTTGTCCATAGTTGGTTATGTAGTACTGTGCTGTAATAGGTTTATAATACTTTTCATACAAATATTGAAGGAAAAAACAAAATATGAAACATTTAAAAAATACAGTAGTACAGTATACGATTGGACATACAAACACATCCACATCTTTGAAAAGTCACTTGAAGGTTCATATGTAGGGGACTTACTGTATATGACAGTCTCTGATCCCATGTCTGTTAAATTGATATTTTAGGAGGTGAATGCATCATTAGTCCTATTAATATTTGTACATTTTAATCTTATTGAAAGAAGAAAACAATTATTCTGCAACTTTGAAATTGTATAAGAAAAAGTAGTTGGCTTGTGTGATCTGCTTATTGACTCTGATGTGATTTAGAGAAAAATAGCCTCTTGGGTCAAAATAAAACCTTCATAAATGGTCGTACTTTTACTCAGAGGTATACAAGATATTCCCTCAACTGTTTGCATGTAGGACCTCTTTTAGGTATGCACAAATAATAATAATTTAGCTGCTCCCTAACTACTTGACACTTTTAAACCATGACACTGTGAATCTTACAGTTGTTTTCCTACTTTTTTTTTTTTTTTGAGTTGGAGTTTCACTCTTGTCGCCCAGACTGGAGTGCAGTGGCCGCTCCCAGCCACCACAGCCTCTACCCGCTGGGCTCTGGCGATCCTTCCACCTCAGCCTTCCGAGTAGCCGGAATTACAGGCCCGCGCTACCATGCCCGGCTAATTTTTTTTTTAATTTTATTTTTTTATTGTGGAGATGAGGTCTCGCCTGCCCAGGCGGGTCTCGAACCCACGGGCTCAGGCAATCCACTCACCTCAGCCTCCCAAAGGCGCGGGATTACAGGCTGAGCCACCGAGCCCAGCAGTTGTTTTCCTATTAACTCATATTCTTTTTTGCCAAGAAGTTCTCAGTACTTATTTTGTATAATTGTATCTTGTAGATGGCTTTGCTCATTGCCTTAGATCCTCTTTGCAAGAGGGGCAATTATAAACAATAAAAAGACATTGTTTACCAAAAGAAGATGAGGTTTTATTTCTACAATCAGAGTCTTAGCCTTTTTATTATATACAACATCGAAGTTCTGAGTTGAAAAACATGGCGGCCTTATGAGTTTGTAACTTTTTCTCTAAAACTGTATCTCAGATAATGCAGGATAGTTACTCTTTTTAGTTAATAGTAGACAAAATGGGTTATTGAATGTATTTTATAATTGTTTATGTTGGTGTAGAAAGTGACTGAGACTGAAGATGATAGTGATAGTGACAGTGATGATGATGAAGATGATGTTCATGTCACTATAGGGGACATTAAAACCGGAGCACCACAGTATGGGTAAGTTACTTTTAAGTAAGTAACAATCACGTGAAAGCTAGGAAGCAAAGCTGGTGTAACCGTATCAGAAGTGTTTGTGGTTGATTCCATTGTTATCATATAATGATGAGAAAGAATTGCAAAACTTTTACAAAACATGAAGATATTTGCTTGCTAAAATGAAGTTACCTAATTATGTAAAGGCTTATGGAAGCAGCATTTTTTGATTCCTGAATTTAAAGTTTTTATAAAAGAATTGAATGATAGAAGTCCCTTGGTTCGAATTAGAAAACTTTAAATTATAATTTGCATCTGCATTTATTATTCTTCCACTTTATTACCTACCTAAACCTTAGTTTAGGTTCTTAATTTTTTTGTTCAATAAAAATTATATCAAAAGTCTTTGTTTTGCTCTTACTAGTTTATTTTTCAAGTTGTAGGTTATCCTGTAGGCTTTTTAGGTCATTTGTCTCAAATTTTGTATTTTATAAACTGAACCAAGTGAATAGACTGTCATTTTATCATTGACCACATAGAGAATCTTATAGAAAGTTTGGAAGGGATTGCATTAAAGTACAGGTTGTGATTTTGTTACAATAGTAGAATAAGAGTCAATGACTTTTGTTTTTCAAATTGTATTATGTGATTAAGCTTGTACATTAGAAACATAAAATAGTGTCATTAATTTCATTATAGTTCATTAAGAAGCCTTTTCTGGAATCAGCCAATATATACATAAATACTCTTAAATATTTTATTAGTAGAACTGTTTTTTTTTCTGTCATTTATTTCAGAAAACTTAAAGGTAATTCAGAAATTTTCTTAGGCAGTTTTATATTATAATAGTGATTACTCACAAATTTTAAAATCTCAGCAACTCTTGAGAAAGCAGGGTAGAGAAGAGACTTGGATGCTCACGTTGGGGTGGGTGTTCCAATAGTGCTTCTCCCTGGGAAGGCAGGTCTTCATATTGGGTTCACACTGTAGTACTAGCAGCAGGTAGAGCGGAGACTCGGGTACTCACGTGGGGTGGATGTTCCAAATGTGCTTCTCCTTCTCTGGGAAGGCAAGTCTTCATGATGGATTTACACAGCAGTGCTTGGAGTTCTTCCTTCTTGTAGACCTTTACCACTGATTATGAAAAGGAACACTTCCATATAAAACTATAATCACTGCATATTTATTAGATACTGTTATGTCAGATTATTTACATTTGCATGTTATGGGACAAATAGTTATTTTGGATTTTAATGGGACCATTTTTTGGGTAGGAATTGCCCGCAAATGTTAAACATACCTAGACTTTTGTAGTACTTTACTGAACTTTATTTTTTACAGCAGTTATTAATTTTATGCATTGTAGTTATGCTTATACATGTTTATCACCTTTAAGCTCTAAACTCCTTTTTACATTTTTTTTAATAGAGATGATATCTCACTGTTGCCCAGGGTAGTCTCAATCTCCTGGACTGAAGCAATCCTCTTGCCTCAGCCTTTCAAAGTGCTGGGATTATAGGCGTGAGCCACTGTGTCTGGCCTAAACTTCTTAGAATAAGAAACTATGTTTTATGAATTTTCCTATTTCTCATTACATATATTAAGGGTTCGACAATTTTTTTTTTTTTTTAGTTGGATTCTCTGTCGCCCAGGCTAGAGTGCAGTGGCATATTCATGGCCACACCAGTATCAACTTGCTAGGCTCTGGCGAGCCTTCTGCCTCAGCCTTCCAAGTAGCTGTAACTATAGCGCGCGCTACCACACCCAGCTAATTATTTATTGTAGAGATGAGGTCTTGCCAAGTTGCCAGAGCTGGTTTCGAACCTACGGGCTCAGGCAATCCACTCGCCTCAGCCTCCCAAAGTGTTGGGATTACAGACTGAGCCACCGAACCTGGCCAACCTCCATATTTCAACGTACATTCCTTGAAAACAGAAGGAAAGCCATTGAGAAGATAAAATTTAGCTGGGCATGGTGACTCACGCCTGTAATTCCAGCAATTTGAGAGGCAGAGGTGAGAAAATTTGTTGAGTCCAGAGACTTGAGACCATCCTGGCCAACATGGCAAAACCTCATCTCTAAAATAAATCCATAAAAATTAGCTGGGCGTGGTGGCAGAAACTTGTAGTTCCAGCTACTTGGAAGACTGAAGCGGAAGGATCACCTGAGTCTAGCAGGCTGAGGCTGCAGTGGTCGTGAGCATGCCACTGCACTCCATCCTGGGTGACAGAGTGAGACTCCCACTCAAAAAAGAAAAGAAAATTTGATAAATGTTTACTTTTGCACAGAATTTTCAGAAACAAGTTTAAAGAGCAAAATGTATTCAAGGAGCAAGGTTTATTGTAAGTTAGAAAGTACAAAATAGGATTTCAGGGGAACGTGCTTTGATATGAGTTCATAGCATAAGGCATGAGGAAAAGCCAATCCTAAAGTAGGAATAGTTTGTCTTTTTTTTGAGTCAGAATCTCACTTCTGTTGCCCAGGCTGGAGTGCAGGGGAACGCTTATGGCCACCACAGCCTCAACCTGCTGGGCTCAGATGATCCTTCCGCCTCAGTCTTCCAAGTAGCTGGAACTGCAGGCGTGTGTTACTATGCTCGGCTTATTTTTTGATTTATTTTAGAGACGAGGTCTCACCAAGTTGCCTGGGCTGGTCTCAAACCCCTGAGCTCAGGCAATCCTCTTGCCTCGGCCTCCCAAAGTGCTGGGATTGCAGACTTGAACCACTGCAACTGGCCATAATTTGTCTTTTACAGGGAAGTAGTTTCTTAGCTACCTCTGAGATTCATTTATTCCATAAACACTTTATAAAGACCTATTTTGTCTGGCACTGGGTGTTAAGTAGTAAGATAGTGTGCCTTTACCCAACTACCAGTGGTTGAATTCATTTTTTGTTACATTTTTTCATCTTACCATGATACAAAAGAATTGTTTAAATTTCACCTTGAGGTTTCCCAACTATGTAGGTGATTCCATGGTAAAATTCCATGGAAGCAGCAGTTTTCGAATGTATTAATTGATGATGAAAATACACAAAAATTACAAAAATAGCTTTTATTTTCCAGAAGTAGTGAGAACGATGGATGTGAGTCAATATTTTCATTGCAGCATATGTATTAGAATAGACTCTTCTATGTTTTGAGAGGAGAGTTACTAAAATCCTGCAGGTGCTGAAGATCCTGGAGCTAACATTTGAATTTGCTTGAATAACTCTTGAGTTGGAGGACTGGTGATTTTTAGGCAGAGGTGTGATAGAGGCATGTCTAGAAGGATAAGGTAGCTGAAGAGAATAGTTCAGATCACCGATGGAAGAAATCACAGTGTTTTTGTTGTGCCTTTGTGAAGCCTTTAAAGGTTTTGTTTTGTGTTTGTTTTATTTATTTATTTTGAGTTGGAGTCTTACTCTGTCACCCAGACTGGAGTGTAGTGGCCGCTCCCGGTCACCACAGCCTCAACTTGCTGGGCTCCGGCGATCCTTCCGCCTCAGCCTTCCAAGTAGCTGGAACTACAGGTGCGCGCTACCATGCCCGGCTGATTTTTTTTGATTTATCATAGAGATGGGGTCTCACCAAGTTGCCCAGGCGGATCTCGAACCCGCGGGTTCGGGCAGTCCACTCACCTCAGCCTCCCAAAGGCGTGGGATTACAGGCTGAACCACTGAGCCCGGCTTTGTGTTTGTTTTAAACAGGATTTATTGAGAGAACAGGAAAGTTCCCACACTGGGAGGGGACCCGAGAGGGTTGCCCATCTTTAATGGTTTTTAAGTGGATCAGTTTATTTGAAAAGATAACTTCAGTGGCAGTAGTTGGGAAGGATTAGATAGAGAGAAATTAGCTCATAGACCTGAAGTAGTCATCCAGTTGAGATGATAACCTAAACTCAGCCAGCAGCAGCAGTAGAGGGATGGATAGACAAGAGTATATTTGAATAAGACATAGAAGTTGAGCTGGGCACTGTGTTGCACACCTGGAGTCTCAGCTACTCAGGATCACTTGAGCCCAGCAGTTCAAGATCAGCCTGGGCAACGTAGTGAGACCCCCTTTTTTTAAAAGAGAAGAAAGAGGGAGAAAACCCTGTCTCTAAGGCTGAGGTGGAAGGATCACCAGAGCCCAGCAGGCCTACGCTGGTGTGGCCATGAGTATGCCACTGCATTCCCCTGGGCGACAGAGTTAGACTCCAACTCAAAAAAAATTAAATAAAGAATATAACATGGTTAATGGATTGGTTGTAGATGGAAAGGCAATTAACAGCTAATTGAGTATATGGGAGGAGGAGCAGGTTAAAATAAATTTATTTGATGTTTTTATTTTGAAATTTCAGTAGAAAATGGCAGTATGTATTATCTATTATTTAGAGTGACCTAAGATATCCTTAGCGTCTATTGGACAGTAATACAGATTTGCTTAAGTGCAGTTTACCATTCAGTGAAGCTTCTCTGTACAGAGTGAATATAAAGACTCAGTGGCTTAAAAAAGAAAAGTGATGTTTTAAGGCAGAATGGGGCATGGAAAGTAGTTGAGTGGGAGGCAAAGAAGCTCGTCATTGCTGATCCTTTGGGAGAAATGTTATATTTCCTAGCAGTTTGGTAAGGGGACACCTCAGAGACAATCCTTGACTTCTGTACATTTGACTTGGAAACTAGAACTCTTGTACATCATATATAGATACTCCTGAGTCACTTTGCTGTGCTAAACTTGGATTATTAAAATGCAACCATCATGAAGGCAGCAGCCATCTTTGTCCAGCTCCTCATTCTTAGCCTGGAACCATATCCTTAGCCTAGAACCACATGCGACTATGCGACGTGTTTTTGGTGCTCAGCATTCATTAAATTAATTACTCAGTCTTTAGGGTAAGTAAACATTTCACATTGGTGATGCTAGTACTACCTGACAGTAATAATTTAATTTGGGATCGTTGATACTTTTTGTATTTCTAGTAGTGGGCCTATAATCATTTTAATATCTGATTGTATTTACATTTTTTTAAAGTAGAAAACAAAAATGACAGTACTGACATAACTGAGCCTAAGTCCCATAAATTTAGAAACTTGGAGATAAAAAATGGAAGGCATTGTTATTATTAGGCAGACAAAAAGCAGTGAATCTTCAGAAGTTTAGTTGGCTGAACTCTGAGAGAAAAGAACCAAATAGATTCCATGAATATGCGTGAGAAGTGTGAAGTTGGAAGCGTCATCTGCAGCTCAGTCTTAGTCACGTCTTTCTATCCCGTGGGATTGGGTCCTTCTCCGCCCCTTTCTCTGTTCTCTCCTAACCTACCCAGTAATATGTAAGTCTACTTTACTTAGTATATTTGATTTCCTTACTTATGTACAAGTGTGTATTATACAGAAAAGTAGAGAACTGTCTGTAACCCCATATTACAGAAAATTTTTACAAGGCTCATGGGCTCTATGTGACATGGTCAAGATTATACAACCGATAGTTGACAAAACGTGTTTGAACAGGGGTTGGTCCAACTTCAGATTTTTTTTTTTAATTACTGTGTATTCTACTACACATTAAAAGGTAAATAAACTTCAGTGTTTTTTGATGCAGCTACAACCCAGAGCAAGACATGGGACGTTACTAGCTTCCTGGAAGTTTCCCTCTTTTCCTCTTAGTCATTAGCCACTGACACTAACAAGCAGTGTTCTGCTTTTGCAGAGTAATTTCATAAATGAATTAATGTTGTGGACCAAGTATTCCATGGCTGTTTGAAAGCAAATTTAGCAAAAATATCACAGGAAGGACAGAAAGGGCACTGGAATTGGCAGGAAGGTGGAGCAATTTCATGTGTGGGGATTTTTGAATGTTTAATAACAAGGAGGTGAGAACATGAAGACAGGGGACAGAAACTAGCCTTCCCTTCCCAGCCTGTGAAGTTTGTTTTCAGCAGGATTTTTTTTAGGGGGAGTAGGATCCAGATCTCATTCTGTTGCCCAGGCTGGAGTGCAGTGGTGCAATCCTGGCTCACTGTAGCATCACCTTCCTGGGCTCAAGTGATCCTCAGCTTTCCATTTAGCTGGGACTAAAGCTGCACACCACCACACCTGGCTAATATTTTAAAAAATTTTTGTAGGGACCACACTAATGTCGAACTCTTGGCTACAAGTGATTTTCCCAATTTTGCCTCTCAAAGTGCCAGGATTATAGGCATGAGCCACTGTGCCTGACCTACTGTGGGATATTAAGTTAGTGGCAAGGAGGTTTTTGACATGGAAATGAGTCAGATTTTTAAAGAAAATAGTTTTTGTCTTTTATTGAGCAAGTGACAGACTTAAAATGAGTTTAAAATGTTTTTTTAAACAGTGTGAGTCACTGTTAATTTGTTTACTTACTGTGTGGGTGTGTAATTTATTTGTACACATTGACTAAATTACTGTCTTATTTACTTTAAGTTTCTCAGGATAATTTTTATTATTTTGTTTTTAGGAGTTATGGGACAGCACCGGTAAATCTTAACATCAAGACAGGAGGAAGAGTTTATGGAACTACAGGTAACATTTTTATTTGTGGTTGTATCACTAGAAAGATAAGGGGCACATACCTTGAATAAGTCATCATAGCTCTTTTAAGAGCAGTTTGTTGTTGTTGTTGTTGTTGTTGTTGTTGTTTAGTTGGAGTCTCACTCTGTCGCCCAGGCTGGAGGGCAGTGGCATGCTCCCGGCCACCGCAGCCTCGACCTGCTGGGCTCTGGCGATCCTTCTGCCTCAGCCTTCCAAGTAACTGGAACTACAGGCGCACGCTACCACACCCGGCTAATTTTTTTATTTATTGTAGCGATGAAGTCTCACCAAATTGCCCAGGCAGGTCTCGAACCCACGGGCTCAGGCAATCCACTCACCTCAGCCTCCCAAAGGCACGGGATTACAGGCTGAGCCACCTAGTCTGGCTTAAGAGCAGTTATTGACCATACGTCACAGAGAGTGGCAAATTTTTTCTGTAGAGGGTCAGATAGCATATACTTTGGGTACTACTGGCCTCGTAGTCCTTTTTTTGTTTTTGCATGTTTGTTTTTCTACCCTTTAGAGAAGTAGAAATCTTTTTCACTCACAAGGTGTATAACAGCAATCATGTAAAATGGGAAGTTAGCAAGTTCCCTGTGTTATAGGAATCCCTTGCCTTTGGATAAGAAGTACCAGCTCCTTCTATCCAGTTTATCTTATCGTTCCACCATAACATTTGACTCCACTTTTATTTATGACAAACATTGATGCTTTGCTTGGAACCTTTGCCGGGTTTGTGCCAAGGATAGTGAAAAGGTATTTCTGTTTTCTGTTTGTCTGTGTTCTCTCACAGATTCTTGCTAATGTAGCTCCTTCATCCTTTTGTGATTTTATGTAAACTAGGAACAAAGGTCAAAGGAGTCGACCTTGATGCACCTGGAAGCATTAACGGAGTTCCACTCCTAGAGGTAGATTTGGATTCTTTTGAAGATAAGCCATGGCGTAAACCAGGTAAGATTATTGTGGATTATATTAATTTCAAGATTTTTGGTGTGATGTCATCAGAAAAGTACTTTTGAGTACCAGTTTTGAATTTAATTGTTCAGTGTCATTTTTATTGTCAGGCAAACGAGTAATAATGACTTGAATTATTAAATCTTATCGGTGGCCTACCGTTACCTAAATGTAGACTTACATATTGTTTATTTTAATGCCATTTCTAAAGGAAATAATTTGATAAAAATTTTATAGTCTTTTTGCTATCCTCAAGGGAGGGGTGATGAGACTGAAAGAACTCTATATTTATATTTTGTAGTTTATCATATTTTTTGACACTGCATAAAATAGAGCTGAAGTATTTGCACATTAAAGGTGTGTTTTCCTTTTAGGTGCTGATCTTTCTGATTACTTTAATTATGGGTTTAATGAAGATACCTGGAAAGCGTACTGTGAGAAACAGAAGAGAATACGGATGGGGCTTGAAGTGATCCCCGTTACTGCCACTACAAATAAGATTACGGTAATGCGTAACTATTCCAGAGTACCCTGCCTTTTCTACCGGCCCACTTTTATTCCCCAAATAAGTCCCTTTTCCCTATAAAGGTGTTTAAATGCTATGTGATAGTATAACAAGTTCCATTGTCTTTACCTTGTTATTTGTTTCTTCCCTTCCTTCCCTTTCAGAGTTTTTTTTATATTAATGATTATCTGATGTTCTTAGTTTCAAGTCACAGACTAGCCACAGCTGGTTTGTCTTTATTTGGCCTATTAATTAAAAGTTATGTGGTATCTTAATGGGGAATATGTTATTTAACTTAGGCCGAAGACTGTACTATGGAAGTTACACCAGGTGCAGAGATCCAAGATGGCAGATTCAATCTTTTTAAGGTGAATTTTAGTAAATTATCCTTGGTTGCTCTCATTTTTTGTTCTTGAGTCTGCTCCCATACCACTACTCAAGGGACAAGATTAAAGTGGAAATAGCTACCTTTTTTCCAAACCTTCAGCTTCCTGGTGACTTACAAATTTGCTGATTGTTGTTTTATCTCTACCTTGCAAGCATGTGAATTTATAGCCTATTATACTAACAAATGCCGAGTAAAACTGTTCTTTGCTATATGTTGCGATTTCATTTTGAGTCGTAGTCATGTTTGTTTGTAGGGTAGAAAAGTTAATGGCAACAAATTAAGCTCTTTGTAGGTCATGCTCTAATCTTTATTAACTGATTTGGAGGCTGACTTTCTTTATTTTCTTTAAAAAATTGGTAAGGGAGGTGTCCTACTGTTTTATCTTTATGAAACTGAAATTGGTGGTGTTATATCTTTGGTAGTTCAAGATATCTTCAGTAATCTTAGGCGTTCTCTGAGTGTCTAAGAACTAAACAGAATGGGATGAAGCCATTGATTTTTAAAATTACTACTTGGCCGGGTATGGTGGCTCACGCCTTGAATCCCAGTACTTTGGGAGGCTGAAGCAGGAGGATACTTGAGACCAGGAGCTTGAGATCAGTCTGGGCAACATAACAAGACCTTGTCTCTACAAAAAATATAAAAAAATTATCTGGGTGTGGTGGCGCATACCTGGGGTCCTAGCTATTGGGAGGCTGAGGTGGGAGGATCCCCTGAGCCCAGAAGGTCAAGGCTGCATTGAGCTGTGTTCATGCCACTACACTCCAGCTTGGATGACAGAGTGAGACTCTGACTAAATAAATAAATAAATAAATAAATAAAATAAAATTAATACTTGGCCTATGAGAGATTTAGAGATTAGTATTCCTACCTGGGTATCGTCTGATCTCTGGCTTCTCCATTCCATGGTTTGGTGACTGCCCCAGTGCAAGAATAGCATTGCATCCTCGCACTTCTCATCTTGAAGCCTGATGTGCACTCTTCTTTCTTTACCTTAATACTTGATTCTTGTGTGAGGGACGTCAGGGTGGGGCTGTGTGTTCAGGGACCTTGGGGGCTAGATGTGGAACCCTGTGTTTGCACCCTGCCCTCAGGAACCCTTCCTTGGGCAGTGCACCTGCTGTATTCATAGATGTAGCCTCTGCTGGACACAGTTATATGTAGAGAATTTATTTTTAATTTACATCCTACTACGGGTAAGTGTTTGGTTTTCGTTCTGTTACTGATGTTTTGGAAGTGTGTGATGAAGTCTGTTTTAAATGCTCATCAGAGTCTTTGTGGACATATTGTCTACTTAGGCATTGAATGTATTGACAATGGGAAGAAAAGCTGTCGTACTGCTCAAGTAGTTCATCAGCTGTGGTGCTTTTTCTTCTAGCAGAAATGAGAGGTGCCATTTTTAAACTTAGTTTCTGAGCATTTTTTCACAGTAGTCTCTCTTTGAAGGTAGCCGTTGTGAATGTGTATTTGATATCCATACTGTCTTCGGAAAACTTCTGAAGTTTCTTTTGGTTATATGAGAGGAAGTCATGGACTGTTCATTATTATTTATTTGATTCTGAAGGAATAAGGACTTGAATCTGTTGGATGCCTTGTAATGGGTTTCTTCATGTATATTGTGGTCTGTCGGACATGGTGGCAGTAAGGCCGTGATGAGAAAGACTTAAACCTTAGACTAGTCCATGGGCATGTATATGGGAAGCTGTGTGAAAGTTCTTGGGCAGTAGGGCAAAGTGTGGATCTGGTTTTCAGAAAAGGACCTGGCAGTAGGGTGGACTGTGCAGTGAAAGGTAAATGACACCCAAAGGGAGTTGGGCCGTGCTCCAGGGAGGATGGGGCCTGGGTGATGGCAGCGATGGGCAGAGGGATGGGCTTCAGAGTTATATGTGAGCTCTTTTCATGTCTGCTGCAAATCAAATGAGAGACAGCCCATACCTTTAAGACGTGTTCAACTTGTTATATGGATTTTCAACCACAGGCAAAAGACAAGATAAATCCTAGATGCTTATTACACTCCTTCAACCATTACTGATACTGACATTCTCGAGGTAATAGCCTTTATATTTTTCAGAATGATAAAGGTTTTGTAAGCAAAATATCACATGAAATTTAATGGGTATAAAAAGAAGGTCACTCAGTTGGGTACAAAACAATTATGTACTTACATAGTTGGGGTTGCGAGGCAGGAGCGAAGTGACTAGTGGGAATGGGAAACATGCATGTGTAAGAAGCAGTTGACCACAACCTCTCCTTAAAGTATTTTCTGTCCACACATGCAGACGTGCATAGACTTTTTTTCCCTCTGTGTCTGTGTGAGCTCTGTCACCAGTGTTCTGAACTTTCACAGTTCTGTGTTTTGGTCTGCTTCCATCCATTGTACCAAGCCCTCAAGTGTCCCTCTCAGTCTAGAAGCTCATACCTTTCACTTCCGGGACATTCTTACATTATTCATTTACTTTCTTCTTTCTTTTCTCTTCTAGATAGATATTGGACCTTTTTAACTAGTCCTCTAATTAAACTTTATTAATCTTTTTTTTTTTTTTTTAGAGACAAGGTCTCATTCTGTTGTTCAGACTGGAGTGAGGTAGTAGCATGATCATAATTTACTTACTGTAACCTCGAACTCCTGAGCTTGCGTGATCTCCCTACCTCAGTCTCTCAAGTAGCTGGTTTTTTTATGGTTTTTCATGGTTTTATTTGTTCATGGTTTTATTATTTGTAGAGATGGGATCTTGCTGGGTTGCCAGGCTGGTCTTGAACTCGTAGTCTCATGATCCTCCTGCCTCTGCCTCCCCAAGTGCTGGGATTATAGGTTGAGCCGAGGGGTCTGACCTTTTAAAAATCTTTTCTCTTATTTTCTATCTCTTTGTCTTCCATTCTCTGGGAGATTGCTTCAGCTTTACAAGTCTTCTACTTAGTTTTTCATTTTTACTGTGAAAGTCTTAATTTCCAAGTAAGCAAGCTTTTCTTTGTTGTGTAATTGTTGCATTATGTTTTTGTTCATGCATGCGATGCTGTGGAATCCTTCTCCTTCCTTGTGTTTTCGAGGGTGGTTTGTTGGTTTCTGTTAGATTTTCTTTGCCTGCCTAGTCTGTTTTCTTCAAGTTGATTGCTTCTGTTTGTTATTTTGGCCTTCTGGCTTTGACTTTCCCAAAATGTTTGCTGATTGTTGACTGTGCACGCACGTGAGCGTGGGCTGCTGCGAAGTCGACTAGAAGCCGTGCGTGTGGCTGGAGCTTGGTGACACTGGTGCCTCAGTAGGGCTAAGCATTTCCACATTTCCCAATGGCAGTGTCTTTGGGTTGTTTGGCTTTTTTTATCTTCTTCATTTTGTGGTTTTCTAATTTTTTTTAGGGAAGACATAGTCCAGGGTCCCGTCAGGGGGTATATACCAGCTGATTTGAGTGTCCAGGAGCTGGCATTCATTCCTGAACCTCGTGGCATCCTGCCATTGATAATCGATGTGTCTTTGCTTTCTATTGCTGACTTAGGATTCGACTTTCTTTGATCTTCTCAGTCATAGTTCATCTACTTCCAAAGTCCTAAATTGATGCTTTCTTAATGTTTTTTTTCTTGTGGGCTAAAACAAAACTGTGACAATTTGTTCATGGTTTTCTATTTTTCCTTTTCTGACCCTAACATGGGGTAAATGTTTTTCTTAAGTTATTAAAAAAAATTTTCCTATTTTTTCCTTTTTTTTTTTTCTTCCCACCCCAATTTTTAAAAATAAATATATGAGGGGAGATCAAAACCTAGAATTATCTTTTGAAGGGTGAGCCCCTTGTAGTACACTCAGAATTTGTTCCTCTGGATCAAACCGTTAACTGAAGTTTTTATCTAGAAGTTTTGAGAAAGTTTCCTCACGATTTGTGGCAGACAGAGGACTGGTTCTTCCACCATTACTGTGCACCTACCTGCCCACACCACACTGAGTGTTCAGCAGTTTTTGATAAAAAATGTCATGTCCCGTTCCCTACCTTCCCTATTCACCCAATCTTGTCTTGACAATTTTTTTTGTTTCCCTGGATAAAAAAAGATCTCAAAGGGAAACATTATGCTGATGTGAAAGAGGCAAAACAAGAAACTGCAGAAGCACAAAAAGGCATCAAAATTGACAAGTTAAAAAATGTTTTGAACAGTAGGAAAAGCATCTTGATAGGTGTATTGCATCAAACAGAGAGGAATTTGAAGGTGACTGTAGTTTAAACTTGTAAGAATAAATACACAGGCCGCGCGCAGTGGCTCACGTCTATAATCCCAGCTCTTTGGGAGGACTAAGTGAGAGGATTGCTTGAACTTATGGGTTCGAGACCAGCCTGGGCAAGTTGGCAAGACTTCATCTCTACAATAAATTAAGAAAAATGAGCCGAGCATGGTGGTGCATGCCTGTAGTTCCAGCTACTTGGAAGGCTGAGGTGGAAGGATCACCTGAACCCAGCAGGTCAAGAGGCTGTGGTGATGGTGAGCTTGCCACTGCACTTCAGCCTGGGTTACAGAGTGAAACTTCGATTCAAAAATAAAATAATAAAACATAAATTTTTATAAATAAATTCTGGGATTTTTTGGTCCTTCCTTGTATAATCTGTTACTTGGATATATCAAAATTTACTTAAAAGATTCTTTGTTTAGATATTGTTGTTAAATTCTTGTGAATGGTGCTATGATGGGAGGCAGAAGGAAATTTTTAAAAAATAGCTTCAAATACAGTGGTAGCATGATTTGGGTGAATAATTGGCTCCTCAAGTTTGCAGACTTTAGCTAAGTTCAGATTTGTAAGATCTGACGTGAATTTGTTTTTAGAAAGTCAGACACAGTTTCTTATAGGCATTTAAAAAAATATTAGGTCATGTGAAATAATACTCTCATTCTGTTCTGGTTAGACTCATTTTAAGAGTGTGTAACCCTGAGTGTAACATCTGAAGACAAACAAGTGGCTGATGATGATGCATGTTGACTAGGAAGGCTGCTGGAATGGTGAAGATTTTCAGAGTCGTTTAGTATCATGAGTGTGTTGTGAAGAAACCAAGGAGCAAGGGAAAGCCAGGAGACGCAAGCCATTTGACAAGTGTAAAGTCGGCCCTGTGCTCCTGATGTCTTCTCTAGTCTTTCCCTATGTAGACACGCTTTTGTCTGTGCCTCTACCCTCTTTCACTGCCTCTCCCACTTCTCTCCCCTACCCCTTCCTACTTCCCTTCCCAGTTTTTTTTTTTTAAAGCAGGATTTATTGAGAGAACAGAAAAGCTCCCACAGTGGGAGGAGACCCTAAAGGATTGACCCCCTTCCCAGATTTTAATTGAACAGTTGACTATGTCGGGGAGTGTATTAGGCTTGGGTGGGGAGCGGAGGTCAGTATGATAGATATGTTGTAGTCTTGAAGTTCATCTGTTTTCTTTTTTTCTGTTTTTTTGAGATGGGATCTCACTATGTTGCCCTGGGCTCAAGCAATCCTTCACCTCAGCCTCCCAAAGTGCAGGGATTCCAGGCATGAGCCACTGTGCCTGGCCTAGGTTTATCTGTCTTAATGGGAGAAGACAGGTATTAATTAAATAACCTTGTTATTAATTAATTACAAAATTATGTAGTTACAAACGATATGTTCTACGGAGTTTGAAGAAGGGACATTCAGGCTGAGTCCCAAAGTCAGTCAAATATTTATTGAGTACTTATTGCATGCCAGGTTTTCAGGGCACTTGGGATACTGATTTATATTGGACATGGCTCCTGTCTTCAAAGATCCTAGGCTACAGTGAAAGTGGACAATAATCATACAGTAAAATAAATAAGATAATTTTGGGTGATGACCAGTGAGCAATTCTGTGAAGAAAGTAAAATATGATAACATGATAGAGACCAGTAATGGCCAAGGAAAACCACTCCAAGGAGATATTGGAATGATGTATACATGATTAGAAGGAGAAAGCCATGAGACTGTGGGGAGAAAATGTTCCAACAGAACATCTTGTATAGAAGCCTTAAGAAAAGTGAAGCTTGCATGCTGAAAAGAATAATAACAAAGGTCACTGTCACTGGGCATAGGAGAGAGAGCTCGGGAAGGATAGAAGAGAAAGGGCTGGGAGTCACTGCAGGCTGACCCGAGAAGTTGACCATACTCTGGCTGTCTTGGGAGCAATAGAGGAGTTCAGAACAGGCACATGAGTTGTCTTACATGTTAACAAGACTGCTTTGGCTGTGCACAGAGGATGGGTTTTAGAGCAAAAGTAGAGAGGCAGGTTAATTAACAAAACAGCCAAGATGTGATGGTAGGGGTGACTTGGGCTGCAGAAGAGGCCCTAATGATGTTGTGAGGGCCAAGTCGACGTGCTGGGCATTGATATGTATTCGATAATTCCCAGGTTGTTTTGCTTTCCTTGAGCAACTTGGTAGATGATGGTGCCATTTATTTATATGGGAAAGATTGGAGAGGATCAGATTGGGGGAAATTAGTGGTTTTGCTTTGCTTTGTTGTGAGGTGCCTCAGATGTGTCAGAAGTTGGGTGTAAAATGACTGGTAGTTGGGGAGTAGCTGGACTAGTACAACATCTCCATGCAGTGTATTGCATTTCTTTTTCTATTCCCATCTCATCTTTATCCCACAGGTTTTTTTTCCGTAACATTTATTGTATTGCTCTGATTGTGTGTTTGTATTTTCCTAAGGTCTGGGATTCTGTTGTGTTTCTCTCTGTAGTCTCAGCTTCTGGTATGTAGTAGATACTTAATAAATGGTGAATGAGTCATGCTTAATTCCTGTCGCCACATCCTGCCGGTGCTGTCTGTCACTTGTTTGTCAGATTCATTTCTTCCTGTCCTCACAGCTTTAGTGCCAACTTTCATCTCTCCCTCGTTCATTTTAAGTTGATTTTCTTTTTAAGCATCAGAACTCACTTTCAAATAAACTCAGTGTAAAACCCTAATTATGTGAAGGTATCGGGACTGGGTTGGACATTGTTAGTAAGAGATCTGACTATATGGCTTAAGTACAGGGGGTTCTTTTTCTCAAGTACCAATCAGCTGGGAGGCAGGTAGTTTCTGGAATGGAGTCAGGTGTCTGCGAGTCTCTTGGCCATGGCCTCGGGGGACCAGAGTGAGACTGAATTGAGACGGGGCGGGTGGTGGGATTTAAGTAGGGCACAGAATGTGGTGGTGAATGTTCTTTAAGTGTAGGGAAAGTTGAGCTTCGTTTAAATTTAATAATTTGGTGATAACTTAAGATGGAACGGTGAGTATAAAAGCAAACGAGCACAAAGAAGACATTTCATCGACTAGAGGAACACCCTGGGCCACGCTCACAGGATCTGATCAGAGCAGAGGGCTGGGCAGATCTTGGAGAAAGGATGGAGTAGGTAGGTACCTGGTCTGAACATGGTCTGAGGAGGGAGAAGAGGTGTCAAGGAGACAGACGGTTGCCTCCAGGCATCGTATCTGCTGAATTGACCGGACAGTGGCACTGCTGAAGGTGATGGGAAGATGGGGCAGTGGTGTGGGCTTGCAGTAGCAGGGCATCCCACTGTGGTGTGGCAATTTGCTGTCTGAATGGAAAAGGGTTAGAGTGACTGACGGGGTCCCTGCTTGTTTTCTTAGCTGAGGAGAGTGAATAGAGAAGGGGAAATTCTTTGTGGCCTTACATCAAACCCTGAAATATGAAGTTGTAGCTGAGTGTTGAGGGCTTATTTGTGGGGATCTGAGGGAAAATTATGAAAGTGCAAAGTGTGACAGTTTGTTGAGTGATTAAGTGGCGTGAATGTGAGCTTTTTAAGAGTTGGGACATTCTGATCCCATCATAATTTTGGTGCCTCTCACCTAATGCTTTTCTAAAATAGGTTAATTTTAATACTTATTCAGCAGTGAAGCATTCCTTGTACTTAATGTCACATCAAATGTGATAAACTTATTTTAACATCCAAAGTGCACTGTGTTCTATTAAATTAAATGAGCTAATCACCTTTTTTTTTTAAGGTACAGCAGGGCAGAACTGGAAATTCAGAGAAAGAAGCAGCACTTCCATCGACAAAAGCCGAGTTTACTTCTCCACCTTCTCTGTTTAAAACTGGACTCCCACCAAGCCGGTGAGTTAGACGGTTGTCACTCCCTTATTGTAAGGCATTGGTGTCTACACTGTGCTTGTGCTGTTTTAAGTATGGAAGCTCTGAATGGTCTGCCAAAACACTGGAACATTCTCCTTTGGTTTAATAGGCAGGCAGGAAAGGAAGCAGGTGTCTGGTTGAGTGTGAAGAGGCGCCAGCCTTGCCTCCATGGTGACAGTGGCCTTGCTGTGCTCTGTGCTTATATTTCTTGCCTGAAGACTCGCTGAACTTCCTGAGTCTAGATCTTTCAGCCTACAGGTGTCTTACTGGTGTCAGGAAAAGAGGCTGTAGAGATTTCAGGGAGGAAAATCTTTCAAATCCAAAACATTTTTTTCTCTTTGGATTCATGTGATGATACCTAATCTTGTGTTCTACAAGGTACCAGATATAAAAAGCTGAGGATGGAGGGGCGCTGAGCATCTGAGAGGGGGCTACATCTGGAGCAGTCTTGGTGCCGTGTGCACAAACTCAGTGAAAGGCAATTCAACTGCCAAACGGGAGCTGTGGGGAAGGTGAAGTCAGCCCGGGGCTTGTTTCCAAAATGAGAGAAATGACAGCATTTTTCTGTGCTGATAGGACCGAATCAATAGAGTAAAACCTTGGTGCCACAGGAGAGGCCCCGAATTACAGGGCCCGCACCCACGTCTTGCACTCTGGTTCTAGTTGCCTGAGGACACTATGACAAGATGAGAGAGACAGACCACACTCACTTAACTTAGCACTGGGTGTTGTTACATTTGTTCTGTTCGGAGTTGTTGTTTTTTTATCTCTACTGTGCTTAGTTTGTAAGTGATGTCGAATCCTGGGAATGGAAGCACAGACAAAACAATATCTGGAGTTCAGTGTTAGCTACAGTTCGGGTATCTGTGGGGGCCCTGGAATATATTTCCAGCTTTTCTAAGGCTGATAACCATGGGTCTCAAATGAGGCCAGTCTGCTTGTTCCTGTGTGCTGTCCTCACGCTTGTCAGGGGTGTGAGTGTCCTAAAGAGGAACTAGAGCCGAGTTTGACAGGGTGGAGGTGATGCCAGGCAAATACTGAAAAGGGTTGGAGGGGCCAGGACTGTGGGCATCCACTCGAGGGAGTGACTGTGACAGTAGACCACGGTCTGAGATGTGGGAGGACATAGACAGGTTGAGAGAGTAGAAAGGAGGCAGAGAAAGGGTGAAAAAATTCGCAGGTCTGTCACTCCTAAAAAAAAGAATACGCACAGCCTGGAGGAGTTGCTTCGGTGTCAGTACTGTACTTCTGTGTGGGAAGAATATACCCATTGTATATTACGGAAGTTGGTTTCTAGGCTCACCTTCTTTGATCCAAAGTATACTTTCCAGTCATTGTGAAATATTTCCCTAAAAGAAGTTTTTTTCTGTTTTACTTTTCATATTTGTGGAGATTGGATAGACATCTTTGAAAGTAAAATTGTATTGATTTTAGGGAGAAGACAGTAATGTTATTTATTAAGACGTAACAGAGGCTGCAGATCCTTAAGGCTGATGAGCGGTACTGCGCACCTGGGCATGTGTTTTCATTGTTTAAAATAGACCGCCTTCCTGATATTTAGGTAGATGTTATGTTTGCACAGAACCTAAAACAGTTTTTTGAACTTTATCAATAAAAGTTCTGGATTTCCACATTTGTGTACTACTGCTCAGCAACTTGACCTAGTTAAATAAAACGTTGTATTCATTATATCAGAATGTTCTGCTTAACTTTTAAAAGTTTTCCTTGTTAGGTTTTTGGTTTTTTTTTAAGTTGGAGTCTCACTCTGTCGCCCAGGCTGGAGTGCAGTGGCATGCTCATGGCCACTCCAGCGTCGATCTGCTGGGTTCTGGCGATCCTTCTGTCCCAGCCTTCCAAGTAGCTGGAACTACAGGTGCATGCTACCACACCTGGCTAATTTTTTTAAAAAATTTATTTATTGTAGAGATGAGGTCTTGCCAAGTTGTCTGGGCTAGTCTCGAACCCGTGGGCTCAGGCAATTCACTCGCCTTGACCTCCCAAAGTGCTGGGATTACAGGCTGAGCCACCGAACCTGGCTCTTCCTATTAGCTTTTTGAGAAGTGCTATATACAGAAGAGTGACCTGTTGTGAGTGTGCAGCTTGATTGAATTTTATAGACTGGACACCTGTGTCACCAGCACGTGGATGGATAAAGAGAACACTGCCATGGCCCCTGAAAGCCCATTCTATATCTCTCTTGTTGTTTTCATTTTTAAGTATTTTATTTTGACTAAAACTTAAACTTACAAAGTACAAACAACTTTCATGCATTGTTCACTTCAGTTCACCAGTTAATAACATTTTGTCATATTTACTTTATAACTTCTCAGAAACATTTTTCTACTGTGCCATTTGAATGTTAGTTGTAGGAATCATACCCATCACCCCCAGATCCTTGAGCATGCATTTCCTACAAACAAGGATGTTCTGTCACATGATCACAGGGCACAGTTATCAAGGCCAGAAACTCCATAGTGAATCAGTGCTTTCACCTAACTGCAGGTCATGCATTCTGCCAATTATCACAGTGATATTTTCTGATGGTAGTTCTTTTCTAATTTAGGATTCAACCCAGGATCAGTCACTAAAAGTAACTGTTTTATCTCTTCTCAAATCTGGAGTATTACTTGACATAGCATTTTAGAAGCGTGAAGCTAGTTTGTTCTGTGGGCTGTTCCTGCCTAGGTTTGTGTGATATCTTTCCTTGACTCAATTCAGGGTTTGCCTTTCAGGCAGCAGGAGCCCCATGGGTGATGCCGAGTCCTTTCCAGTGCCTAAACCTGCAGTCATGTGCCGTCCGCTTGACCCATCATGTTATTAGCGGAGCAGCTGATTACTTGGTGGTGGTGTCCTTCGGGTCTCGGCGCTGTGGAGTTACTACTTTTCCCTCGTGTTTAGTGTGCTGTTTGTAGGAAGACTATGTACATATCCTGTTTCTCTTCCAGCTTTCCAGGAATCTTGGTATCCACTGATGATTTTTACTTCAATCTCTTATGAATGTAGCACGGCTGCAAACTAGTGATGCCCTGCACTTTTTTCTCCTGACTTCCACGGGTCGGCATTTCACTCTAAAATGAGCTTCCCGCTCCCTGCTGACCACCTCTTGGATGCTCTGACTTGTATTTTATGTGAGCAAATGTGTGTGTGTGACTTAGACATGTGATTTATTAGTGTATGTGGTGTATAAGCCACATATATGATTTTATATATACTGTAATTCATTTTGATGCTCAGATTGTTCCAAATCTGGCCAGTGGGAGCCTCTTCAGACTGGCTCCTGTGACCTTGTGACATGACTGTCATTTTTTTTTTTTCTTGAGCATCTCGCTGCTCTTTGACATCACCAAGACATCCTGGCTTATCTTGTATTTTCCCTGTGCCTTCCCTGGGAGTGGCCGTTTCTGGAAGGCCTCCAATCATCCTTTTAGTGGGCATTGGTTACTGAGGATCAAGACTGTGTGCTGGCTGTTTCTGACCTTTCAGTACTCAGGGCTAGGGAAGCATGAGCAATTGCAATATGAAAGTGCCATGCATCTTTTTGACGTGAAGTTGCCATCAGGAGTGTCGCTGCTCTTATTTCTCCCACCACCCCAGGTTCCTTGGGAGCCCTTCCTGCCTCTAGTTCATGCTGCATATCCTTTCCCACAGTGAGGACCTGGCTCCAGCAGTGTCAGTGTTTATCCTCACTTGCTGAGTCTTAAATTGCACGCAAAACAGGCTCAGCACTTCTCCTACCATTAAAAAGCTTGGTAAATAGACCGGGCTCAGTGGCTCAGCCTGTAATCCTAGCACTTTGGAAGGCCGAGGTGAGTGAATTGCCTGAGCCCACGGGTTCGAGACCCACCTGGGCAACTTGGCGAGACCTCATCTCTACAATAAATCAAAAAATTAGCCGGGCGTGGTAGCACGCACCTGTAGTTCCAGCTACTTGGAAGGCTGAGGGGGAAGGAACGCCAGAGACCAGCAGGTCGAGGCTGCGGTGACTGGGAGCATGCCACTGCACTCCAGCCTGGGCAACAGAGTGAGACTCCAACTCAAAAAATAAATATATACTGTGAGTAGGCTTAGTACCACCACAACTATCTTAACATGACTCGAGAATGGTATTGTAGGACCATGCTGGAGGACTTTAGAAAAAGCATGTCAGGAAAGGAAAAAAAACAGAACAAGGGGGTAAGAGAAAACAGGATGTAAGAAAGAACAGACAATTCATCTCACCAGAAGCAGCACCTCTTCTCAGTCTCAGACAAGTGCTGCCTCCAGAAAAGCCAGTTCAAGCGCTAGGAGGAGGCAGGGCCAATGTGGGAGGTCCGAGTCCCCTGACCTCAGGTGAGGCTGTTGTGAACATTGGCCACTTTCTGGTGTTTAGGTTGGTGGTGGTGTTTTGTCGGATTAGTAAGGTAATAAATTTTGACTGTACCTTATTTTTACCCCTCCAAATTATGCCTTTTAAGGGCACAGTTATGGGTTTTTAGTCACCTTATGAATCAAGACCCTGCACATCTCTCTGGCCTTCTGTGATATGGAATGGCTTCTGCGGAGCCACACCAGTAGGTGCTTAGGAGGCGTTTTTCTCCCCCTTGTGTCACGTTAATTTCTCTTTCCCACATCACGTCCTGTTCAGAAGTCCTAGCTTCTCTTCAGTACCTGTTAAATAAGTGCCCACCTTCTGAGCCCGGCTTTAGGACCTGTACATTTTGACTCTGTCGAACCTTTCCAGGCTTTATCCCAGCTGCAGGGCGTAAATCTGCCATTTCATTAGTGGGTCTACAAGCTGCCCTGAATGGACTGTTTCCCTTGCTGGCATTATGGTTGTGCTCATGATCTGTCCTCCATAGAATTTTGATTTGTGTTCTGAATCTTAGATTTACAAAGCCTGCAGCCTTGGACAGATATTAACATTTCTCTGAGTCTGACAGAATGAACATAACTTTTCTCCAGGGAATGTGATGAGAAGCCACTGTGTGAGGGCCTGAGCATTTGTTGTCAGCAATAGTCAGCCTGAGCAATTGCACTTAGATGCTTGACTTTGAAATGTAGCCTGAGATCCTTCCTAACTTACCATTTGAGGTTTTAAATGCTTATGGTCTATGAGGGGTAGTTTTGTTTGCTTTTGTCTTACTTTTGTTGTTACAGAATCCTAAGTTTTCTTTCTGGGCAGCTTGATGCTATATTAGTGCGCTTTTAATTATTTTAATTTAAAAACTTTAGAATATGTAAATTTTAATCAGATATCCCTGATATAACACCTAACAGAAAAGCAACAGGAGGAAACACTATTAAAATTTGATGTTCTTAAAATTCTCTTTCTTTAGAGTTTAAATTATCTATTCCGCTTATATTTGTTATATATTCCACAGTTGTAAAAATTTCTATTCGACTTGCTTTGATAGGATTTCCTACTGGGAGAGAAAAAGCATATTTATTTTTATAAGCGAGCACTCATCTCAAAGTAAGAATATCCATCTATAGCCGGGCGTGGTAGTGCACGCCTGTAGTTCCAGCTGCTCGGAAGGCTGAGGTGGAAGGATGGCCAGAGCCCAGTAGGTTGAGGCTGCAGTGGCCAGGAGCAGCCACTGCACTCCAGTCTGAGTGACAGAGTGAGACTCCAACTCAAAAAAAAAAAAAAAAGAATATCCATCGAAACTATAAGCCTAGTAACTAATGCAGTTAAAAATATAGTTATCTGTATTCTTAGAATAATGCCAGTTGTATGTGTTGCTTTAGTAGATTTTAAAAAATAGAAATTTTCATCTTGTTATTTTAAGCATACTCATTGACTTTTTGTATGTACTATATGATAGTGGTTGATCTTTGTTTTTCAACACTAAAATTCTATTTGAGAGGCAAAAATTATTTTAAATAAGGAAAAGTTAAATCTGACAAACCTATGAATCTTTTCACACCTAACATTTTTGTGAAACTTTTCACACCTAACATTTTTGTGAAACCCAAAAGTTGATAGTTGCTCTAATAATATAATTTCTATTAAAAAAAAAACCCTAACAATAATTGTTGTTATAGTACATAAGTAACCACTTGGATTTATATTTAACCTGGCTAGCAAAGTGAATACCTATTGACTGATCCTAAGAGGACCAGACAATAAGAACCTTAATTATAAATTCTTCATCTTGCTACTGTTGACTTAGAATCTTACAAAAACAGCTATTTTATGGCATAAGCATTGGATTTGGATTTTAGATTTAGTTTTGTCAGAAGCTACCTGTGTGGATTAAGGGGTGTTCCCTAAAGTGTCTCTGTCTCTGTCATTACCACATTGGTAACCTGGTGGGGCTTGACTCTGTCATCTAGAAGGCCTCTTCATCTTGAAATTCTTTATTTTTCAACTAGTCCCTGGTTTACAATGGAAAAAGAGATCTGAGAAATTAGGGAATTTGCCCAAAAAGACAGTTAAAAGGCAAAGCCAGGACTAGAATATCCGGTTTCTGCCATTTGGTACATACCTTTCAGGCAAGTTGACTTTTGTAGTTAAAGGCATAGAAGCACTTAAAATATGTTGTGTTTTTTGTAATTTTAAATTTTATATTCGTCTCTTTTGCTTTATTGTTTTTTTTTCTTTTTGACAAACCCTTGTGTTGAGGACTGCTGGATCCCACTCCAGAGGACCTGTATGCTGATTCAGAACTTGAACTCTTGTTCTAAGAAGCACAGTTACAATCGCAGACCAAGCTGCCCTTCAGGGCAGACACTCAAGACTGCATAGCTTCTCTTTCCTGATTAAGTTGCTCTTGTGGAATTGTACTTTGTGCTTTGCTTATGCAGTGAGGAGCATATGAGAAACAGCTCTGGGAAGTCCCTCCTGCTTTGATTGTTTATTTTGCTTTTTTCCTATGTTATGTTTAAATATTATTAACATCATGTTTTATTTATTTTTTATTTATTTATTTATTTTATTTTTTTGAGTTGGAGTCCCACTCTGTCTGTTGCCCAGACTGGAGTGCAATGGCTGCTCCCGGCCATCACAGCCTTGACCTGCTGGGCTCCAGCGATTCTTCCGCCTCAGCCTTCCAAGTAGCTGGAACTACAGGTGCGTGCTACCACGCCCGGCTAATTTTTTGATTTGTTGTAGAGATGAGGTCTCGCCAAGTTGCCCGGGTGTAATTTTTGATTTATTGTAGAGATGAGATCTCACCAAGTTGCCCAGGCAGGTCTTGAACCCACGGGCTCAGGCAATCCACTCACCTCGGCCTCCCAAAGTACTGGGATTACAGGCTGAGCCACCGAGCCTGGCCCATCATGTTTTCTTTTAATGGTACCCTTTTTCCTTTACAGTAAGTATTGTCTTGTGAACCTTTTGTGTAATATGTTTGTACTGAATTGCTATGCAAAATGAGTTTCTTCTTGTGTCTTGTGGTCAGTCAAGTTTAAGTACTATTGCACTCTATCATACTTTCTCGTAGACTCTCTAGTCTCTTCATTGCCATCAATGTGACAGTAGTAATAGGTGCTACCTCATAAGGTTATTAGGAGAAGTAAATGTCTATAAAGTGTTCAGACAGTGCCAACCCAGCCAGCACACAGTAGGTGCTCAATAAGTCTAGTTGTTGTTACCAGGAAAAACAGTCTTCAGAGCAAATGCTTTGTTTTTGTGGTATGCACATTAAAGACATTTTGTTATTAATAATGTCCTTTGTTTTGGCTGCCAAGAAAAATCTACTGAGAAATAAGTTTATGGCCTCTTGGCCCTGATTTCAAATTTCAAAATTGCTGTTGCATCTCTGTAAGCAGCCCTCAAACTCTTTCTGGGACATCCCAGTCATCTGCGTATGATCTTTCAATTCAATGCCATGATCATGGCAGAACTGTTTTCATTTCCTCTTTGCCAGAAGGACAGGTGGAGGCTCTTGGGAACTTTGCCTGTTTGAGCTGTAGATGAACCTGGATGTCCCGTGGGGTTTGTGTCTCAGCTTTTTCTTTATTTTTGAAGTTGGAGTCTCACTCTGTCGCCTAGGCTGGAGAGCAGTGGCATGCTCACAGCCACCTCAGCATTGACCTGCTGGGCTCAGGCAATCCTTCACCTCAGCCTTCCAAGTAGCTGGAACTACAGGCATGCGCTACCATGCCCAGCTAATTTTTTTTTTTTTATTTGTTGTAGAGATGAGGTCTTGCCGAATTGCCTAGGCTGTTCTTGAACCTGTGCGCTCAGGCAGTCCTCTCACTTCAGCCTCCCAAAGTGCTGGGATTATAGTCTTGAGCCACCTTGTTCAGCCGTGTCTCAGCTTTTGACTAGATGGTTGAGTCCAGCATGGAGAAGAGAGTTGTGAGAGTGACCTTCGCGGCTGCTTTGCTCAATAGGCTTGTGGGCCTAACAAAGCAAGGGCTGTGTGGATCTCTGAGCTGCAGTTGATTTCCTTATAGGGAATCCCTACTGAGTCTTTCTATGCAGTCCAATAAAAAGCTGAACCTTAAGAGCTTTCATGAACAGTGCAGTTTAGTATTTTTTCAATAATATGGTGTAAGAATAACATTTGGATTTTTAAGCTATCAGTGATAAATATATGCTTTTCTTAATTTGATATGTGCTATGTATCTGTCATGAAACATTTCTGAACAGAATAGAAAGCTTCACTTGTCTGATTTAGGTAAATCAGTTTATGTGTAAAAAAGAAAAAAAAAACACCTAGCAAGGATGTGTTATGACTCCTCTAGGGATATACATTTGTTGAGGTTGATTCCTCAGTTCTATGTTTTTAGAAACATAGTACTTACCATTTTTTAAAGTACCATTTTTCTAGGTATTTGGTGTTTCCATTTTAAGTCTATAGTGTTTAATCTTATTTACAGCTGAAAAACACTAATTGGACTACTGACCATATTGAAGCTGAGCTTTAAGAGATGAGTGCTGCCACATGTCTCAGAATGGTTGAAAACCAGGAGTCCTGAGAAAGGAATGATAAAAGGCAGGGTATAAAAGCCTGTCCCCGTAACTGAAAAAAGTTTGAGTCTTACATCTAGATTTAAGTGTACTACTTTTAACAGATTGGAGAATTTGCGATCTAAATTGCTAATCATAAAAGAATTTGATCTTGATGTGAATAAATGCGCAAGATGAGAGGGGAGAATCAGTGACTCAGTGACCGGGGGTAGAGGTGGTGGGAAAGGAGACAGTCAAATGGAATGGAAGTCAAGGTCTGAGGGTGAGTTCTGACACAGGAGTTGGTGGGGGGAACCTGGCCGCCACACAGGCCTGTTAGACCAGGGACCTGTGTGTAGGGCATTGGTGCTGGAGATGTGTGTGCGTCAGGGGCTGATGGCAGGTGCTTTGGTACAGTGGGTATTAATTTGTAATTAAGTTTTAGGGAAGAAGCTGGAGCAATATTTGTTTTAAGTTCTAGGTATTTGGTGTTTCCTGTGTGTTAGTATATTTCCCCAGCTCTATTGAAGGATATAACTTAAGTGAAATCACTCTTGACCTTTGGGATCATGAGAGAATTTAGGAAGTGCATGACCCAGGCGTAAAATTAAAGAGGCGTGACCTTTTTGGAAAAATTATAGAGAAGGGAACTCTTAAGCAGGCAAGCATGGAAATGGGATCTCACTGTGAGCTTTAAGACATTTCAGATGCCATTGTATACGTTTTATATTTGTGAGCATAAAATTACTTGTGAAATGTTTCAAGATCTGCTTAAAACAAACTGTTACTAACTCATTTCTTAAGTTTCTCTTTCTATGGAAGTCTTAAGTTTCTCAGAGGTCAGCTGGGTGTGGTGGCTTACGCCTGTAATCCCAGCACTTTGGGGAGCCCAAGGCAGGAGAATCGATTGAGCCCAGAAGTTTGAGAACAGCCAGGGCAACATAGTGAGACCTCGTCTCCAAAAAATACAAAAATTCACTGGGTGTAGTTTTGGTGCCTATTGTCCCAGCTACTCAGAAGGCTGAGGCAGGAGAATTCTTTGAACCCAGGAGGTTGAGGCTGTGGTGGGCTGGAACCGCAGTGCTACACTCCACCCTAGGTGACATAGTGAGACCTTCAACTCAAAAAAAGAAAGAAAAAATTCTTAAAGTTGAATTACCCTGCTGGACAGAAGCCTTAGTCGAGGGAAGGGGTCTGTAGGCTTTGGGATCAAAGACCCAAACTCTCGAATTTGAAAGTTAGTTTTGCCATTTAATTATTCCTGAGGTCAGTGACTTCACTCTGGTCCCTGGCTTTCTCATCTCTGCCAGGTAGTCAGTGATTTCTAAAGTATTATTGGGCAGCTGCTATCATCAGTAACTCTAGGAGCCTAACGTGGTGACTTTGCCAGGGTCTGGGTGTTCTAGTCATTTCTCCAAAGGTTTAAAGGCAGGATTATTCAGAAGTGAAACAACTCAGAACCAAAGAGAAAGTCCTCTGATTTGCATCCACTTTTCATTGCCTGTTTCTATTAGTGACTTCTGTACCTCGTTAGGCACATATGATGCTTTTTAAAGGTCCTACTTGAGCGACACAGCTTTAACATGACTTTTAAAAATACAACTTATGTCGACTTTTCTGTGAAATTTGCACTTTGCTTTGTGGTAGATTATTTTTCCAAATCTTTATATACTTAAACATTAAGGGGATTGTAAATGTAATTAGAGGTAGGGCAAATATTTAAATATTTGAATTTTCTCCCTAGAATAAAAGGACATAAATTAATAAATAATTATATTTTCCCATCTAAAGACAATTAGAAAGAAAAACTGGAAAAACTGTTTCCCTTTTTATGGTTTTGGGGTTTTTTTGAATTGGAGTCTGGCTCTCTCACTAAGGAGCTAGGGTGATTATGGTCAACATGACCTTAACCTCCTGGGCTTAGGCGATCCTTCTACCTCAACCTCCTGAGTAGCTGGGACTACATGACATACACCACCATGTCTGGCTAATTTTTAAATTTTTTGTAGGGACAAGGTCTTATTCTGTTGGCCAGGCTGGTCTTGAACTTCTGACCTCAGGTGATCCTCCTGTCTTGACCTCCCAAAGTGCTGGTATTACAGGCATGAGCCATTGTGCCTGACTGCTTTTTACTTTTTACTTTTTGTTTTTTTTTTTGGAGTTGGAGACTCTTCATCGCCCATGCAGGAGTGTAGTGGCATACTCCTGGCCACCCCAGCATCCACTTGCTAGGCTCTGGCAATCCTTCCATTTCAGCTTTCCAAGTAGCTGGAACTACAGGTACATGCTACCACGCCCAGCTAATTTTTTATTTGTTGTAGAGATGAAGTCTTACCAAGTTGCCTAGGCTGGTCTCAAACCCATGGACTCAGGCAATCCACTCATCTCAACCCCCCAATATGCTGGGATTACAGGCTAAGCCGCTGAGCCTAGCCTACATTTCTTCTTTTAATACTTAGAATATGTCACAAGGAAAATATTCTGTGTGTGTTAAAATGAGCATTATTTCTTTTCTAGCCTTTTCGGGGAATCTTTAAAATTTTCTTAATAAAACTGTTATATATGTAGTGGCGAACTAATTTTATTTTCATTTGTCTAGCATTTGCTCTCTGGTTTAATTTCACAAAGATAAATTCAGTTGGCAACTACTAAAAAGTAACAGATTTAGAAGAAAATCTATACAGAAACTTAAGTAAAATTTAGCATTGTTACTGTTGGGTGTGTTCTAGCTTTTTAATAAAAATGACAGTGCAAAGGCAGAACTCTAACTCAGTGAAATTTTTTCAGTGTGTGTTGTGTCTGATTTTTTTTAAAAAATGTGTTACAGAGGGTTTTAGTTTTTATTTTTCACTTAATACTTTTATTATTTCTCAGACATCTAACTAGGTGAAACTGAGTTGATTCCATTTTTATGTTACAGGCGATTACCTGGAGCGATCGATGTTATTGGTCAGACGATAACGATCAGCCGAGTGGAAGGGAGGCGGCGGGCCAATGAGAACAGCAACATACAGGTCCAGTGTCTGAGATGAGTGTGTCTGGTGAAAGACTTGTGTCTACATTCTCGCTGAATGTATTCAGTAGTCATAGAGCTCTGTTAGGTGTTCCAAGAGACCTGAAGTGTGGAGTGAGTCGTTCTTACCTTTATTACACACACATTTCCATTTAGAATTCATAATTTCTGGTTCTTTTTCATAAGGTTTTTCTTTTTCCTTTTTATAAACCTAATACAGATTGAATATCCTTTATCTGAAATGCTTGGGACCAGAATGTTTGCGATTTCAGAATGTTTTGGATTTTGGGATATTTGCATATACATAATGAGGTGTCTTGGGAATGGGAAGTCTAGACATGACATTTATTTGTTTCATAAGTAAGTTATTTCACCTATTATAATAACTTAATAATTGATGACAGCCATTTTTCCCCTTGGCGACCCTGAATGAACTGCCATGTTCTCAGGGAGCCTGACAACATGTGGGCCTGCATTTTGACTGACCCATCACACATTCCGTTCACTTGTGATGGAATGTCAGTGTGGAGCATTTCATATTTCAGATTTTTGGATTAGGGATGCTCAGCCTGTATCCAGATTCACTGAACAAAAGGTTGGAATATGGGAAAAGTTTTAGAAGAAAAAGGTCGCCAGTGATTCTACCACCTAAACATAACTACACTTAGCGTTCTGTACATCTTTCTTGTTCCTAAGCACAGTTGGGATACCGTTATAGTTCTATTTTTATGTATCCTTTTTCATCTAAAATTATCGTTTGCATTTCATTGGTATTATTAAAATTGGTTTAGAATCTCTTCATGCTATCTTCATTTATGGATATGCCATAATTGGCTTAATGTGCCATTTCTGGGGCTCTTGAATACCTTTGTTTTCAAGTGAGAGAGTGAAGGGAAATGAGAAACAGGTAAGTTGGAGACTCAATGTTGGAACTTCCATAATTGAGACTTCATCTCTGCAGCTCGGCCATTCTTTTTTTATTATTTATTCCCTTTTTCTGAGTACTTTAAGAATGTCCAAAATGGTTTGATTCTTGTTTTCAACAATAAATCATTTAAAATGTTCTTCTTAACATTTTTAAAGGCAAATCATTTCTAAAGTAGAATATAGTCTTCTTTTTCTTTCCTCTGCTATTAAAATGCTATGATTTCTTAAAATAATTCTGTGCCATACTTTAAGAAACAACTTATCAGCATGAGCTCTACAGATGCTACTGTACTTACATGTAGGAAAGTTAGTGAAGAGAGGGACTGTGTGTGCATATGACATGCCATAGTCAGCAAGATGCTGAGAGGTGTCAATGAAGCATACAGTACTATGTTGGCTGTTTTAACCATTTGTTACATTGGCCGACATGTTCTCAGGAAGCCTGACAAAAGCCCACATTTCAGGGTGCCGCCTAGCTTGCTTGTTTCAGGGGGTTTGTGGTACCTGAGGGTACCTGTCCTTATCTGTTCTCATAGGTAAGCATTCTTCAAACACTTAAACAATTTTTTTCAAATACAAACTTTTGTTCTTAAAGTTATGAGAAAAAGTTGTTTCCACGTTGTGCAGCCTGTGACGACAGGCTCTAGAGCAGTGAGTTTGTGACCTGCTGCCACACCTATGATTAATGGTGACATTGCCTCACCTTGGATCCTTTATCCTTGGTTAGGTGACAAGGACTTGTTATATTATGTTTATGAAGTATATGCTTCTTGTTTGGAATTATATTACTTAATTACTTATTAGAAATTTTTTTCAGTAACAATCTAGTTGTTTTTCTCAGAATTTGAATATGCATGTTTTTAAAAGTATGCATGTGAGGTATACTCATGAGGGTATATCTATGTACACATAGAACTGTTACTTCCTCCAGGAAGATATGTGAGTTAAGCTACCCTTAATTCGTTTTCTTAGATTAAGTGAAATTAATGGACTAAGATTCATCTCAGACAGTAGCACATGCTCATCTTTTCACTGCCTGGGCTCTGCTTGTAGGTCCTTTCTGAAAGGTCTGCTACTGAAGTTGACAACAACTTCAACAAGCCGCCCCCGTTCTTCCCTCCCGGAGCTCCTCCCACCCACCTTCCACCTCCCCCGTTTCTTCCACCACCTCCAACGGTCAGCACAGCGCCACCTCTGATTCCACCACCAGGTAAATAGTCAACAAGACATTTGCTTTTGAAAGAAAATAACCTGCAAGTGTTTTTTTATTTTCAACTTAACAATTAAAATATATATTTTAAAATAATTTCATGATTGATCACATTGCATTAAAAGTAACAGATATGATATTTATTATGTTGTCTTCAACAGAGTCTCACTGAAACAGATGCGTGTGTGTCTTGCTATTCCAACATAGCAGAGTCAATATTCTAAAATAGAGGAATGTACAGATACTAAATTTGTAATCCAAAAATAATAAATTGATCCCCAAACTAAAGTTGAAAATAGAATATGTATAAATTCATATTCAGTTGTAAATCGGTGTTAACTTGCTTTGAGAAAAATTTAAAGATACTGTTATATTGAAGCAGGTTGAAAAAATTTTATCTTCTGAAGAGATTGAAATTGAAATTTCAGTCTGGTTGTCTTCTCTCTTTGTATACTGGTTTCCTTTTAGGAGACTGCTGCTGGATGCTAAGTACCTGATATTTATTTTAAACAAGAGAAAAGTGATGTAAATTTTTATCCTATGTCTAATAACTTTTTATCATTAGTTAAAAAACAGGTCAGTGGTAATAGAGAAACAAATTCGCAAATAATCCCCACATTTTATTTTTTATTTATACTTTTAACTTTTTATCCTGTGGCCTTTTTTACTTTATTCTCATTAAGTTTTCAGTATTTCTCTGCCTTAACCAAGGTTTTATGAAACTAACAAGATTGTGATTATAATTACTTCTTCCTAGGGAGAATGAGAGTAGAACGAGATTAAAAACACAGCGCCTTGTCCTCACCAGAGCTACACGTGTGGATTGCATGTGAGACACGTGTGGGAATTTCCTTGTTATTAATAAAACTGGTTTGTGCTTGGGAGCCGTGTCCTCCCCTCACTCTGTCTCAAGGTGCCGGCAATGCTGAGCGTCCCAAACCCCATAAAGGGGCTGCAGAGTTCTGTGACGTACTCGGCCCTTGGCTGTGACGTCAGCTGCTGCCTCTGCCCTCACTCCTGACACCTCTAATTTCCTTCTACTGTCACCTCTGCTCTCAAAAAGGAGAAAGCAATTACATGTGACTTTAGAGAATTTGTTGTCTCCAAAATAGAGGAAAGAGAAACTGGACCCAGTTAGAGGTTCTTACTCAAGACCACATTATTTCTAAAGTTCAATGAGTTTCTTGTTCCAACAGTTAAATTGAGCACAAATTGTTCAGAAATTGGGATCAGACCTGTGATTCTTGGGTTTTTAGCATGCCGAATGCTCTCCAGATGAGAAGGGATTGATGTGATACACAGGATGACTTGTGTGATTTCTCAATGAGGCCTTGTCCTCTGAAAAAGAGGTCAATGAAAGGCAGAAATAATAAAATTGTGAATGTTATTTGGTTAATGAGACAAAAAAATGACTGATGTTTGTGGTACTAGCCCTTCTGCTGGATGTCTTTGAAATAGTCTGTCAACTTTACCTAGGTACTAAATAAAGGTGGGTGATGGGAAAGACTTTTCTTTTTTTTAATTTTTAAAAATCTTTTTATCCATATAATCAAAACTGTTTGCCCATTAAAGGTATTGAAATAAAGAGACACAGAAAAACCTTTTTAAAACTTTTATTTTCCCTAGTCAGGAGCGATAGCTCACACTTATCATCCCAGCCCTTTGGGAGTTGGTAGTGAGAGGATTTCCTGAGCCCAGGGGTTTGAGACCAGCCTGGGCAACTTGGCAAGACTTCATTTCTGCAGTAAATAAAAAAATTAGCTGGGCATGGTTCCTACTACTTGGAAAGCTGAGGTGAAAGGATCGCCTGCGCCCAGCAGGTTGAGGCTGCGGTGGCCATGAGTGTGCTACTGCACTCCAGCCTGGGTGACAGAGTGAGACTTTGACTCAAAAAAAAAAAAAAAGAAAAATAATAGCATCTATGGGGTACAGTATGATGTTTGATTATGTTTACTCATGGAATGATTAAATCAGATTAATATATTCATTGCCTCACATACTTTTTTGTGGTGAGAACATTTAAAATTTATAATTTTGAATTTATAGTTATTATTAGCTAAAGTCACCATGCACATGGACAGTAGGTCTCTAAAACTCATTCTTCCTTTCGAGCTGAAACTTTGTGCACTTTGAACATCCTCTCTTATTCTCATCCATACTGCCTAGCTGTGTAACCACCATACTGTCTCTGACTTCTATGAGTGTGCCTTTCTGAGGTTTCCCAGCTGAATGGGATCACAGTGTCTGTTTTTGTCTGGCTTATTTCACTAGTACCATGTCCTTCAGGTTGTACGTGTTGTGCAGAGGACAGGATGAAAGAATATTCTTACTGAGTAGCTAACCTTGTATATCCCCAGATGGCTAGCATTCTATGTCTTCAGTGCTAATTGTTTATTAAAAACCTTAAGTAGGAGACAGGTGATATGGATTAATTATGACAAAATAAATACTACACTGGTTATAAGAATATTTAGAAGCTCCATAGAATTTGCTGATAGGCAATGGCATTATCTGGAGGTTTACTTTTTTTTTTTCAAAATGATAAAATTACTTTATTTCTTTGCCATATCACCTAGGTTTATAAGTATAACAAATCTTTGAGCAATGTTAGGTTATTGATGGCATTTAGTGTAGCATACCACTAATTTTTCTGCTGCTTAATTTACCTACTTAATGTTAATTCTCAGCTACGTGCTTTCCGTATTTTAAATAACCTGTTCAGACTTCTCTTGATGCCTGTTCTTGGATTAACGTGTCCACACTATCCTTCAGCGTTTAAGGAATACAGATTCAGATGAATATCTATGCTGCTGGGATGGTGCCTGACTGCGGCATGTATGCTGAGGTCGGGGTCATGTGAAGACCACGTGTCTATAAACTGTGATTGTGTTACTCCCTGTTTGACTGTGAGCTACTGGGAGCATGGGTTGTGTGTTTCAGTCACAGTGTCTCGTGTGTCCTCAACCTTCCCTAACACGCTGGTGTCATCTTGTGTGTCCTCGGCCTTCCCTAACTTGCTGGCATCATGACAGTGTCTCATGTGTCTTTGGCTTTCCCTAACACGCTAGCTAGTTAGACTCAATACTTCTATGTGTGCATAACACCAGAGATGACTTTCTGATCTGTGTGTTGAGTCGGGATGGGCACATGGCTGCATAGATACATACCCTCCAAATGTGGGCCCGGCTTTAAGCCATAGTTTTCAGTTTCCATTTGTCACAGAACTACACAATGACACTATGTTCTGTAGTTTGTTGTGAGCTAAATCACCATAAGAATGGCAATCAACTAAGGAAAAAAAGCTGTGACTAAGGAGTCTTTTTAAAGGATTGTCCTAAAAAGGGTTGGGCTGGGTGGCTCACGCCTGTCTTTCCAGCACTTTGGGAGACTGAGATGGGAGGACTGCTTGAGCCCAGAAGTTTGAGACCAGTCTGTGCAACATAGCGAGACCTCATCTCCACCTAAAATTAGTTGGGCTTGGTGATGTGTACCTATAGTCCCAGCTACTTGGGAGGCTGAGGCAGGAGGATCACTTGAGCCCAGGAGGTCGAAGCTATGGTGTGCTGTGATGGTGCCACTGTACTCCAGTGACAGAGTGAGACTCCAAGTCAAAAGCCTAAAATAAAGTATTGCCCTAAAAGGTGCTCCATTTTTCTTAGAGTAACTTTTCTTTAGAATTGCTGAAAGTAAAGAGAAAAAACAATTTTTTAAGAATTGATTCAAGTGTATTTTAATGTTGCCTTTGTTAACTTGAGAATTCTAATGCATAAGTGGTAATGGTGGTGTTGTCATTGTTGTCGTCATCTGAGTCAGGATCTCATCCTGTCACACAGGCTAGAGTGCAGTGGCATGATCACAGCTCACTGCAGCTAATGTTTATATTTTTAAAACTAAAATCCAAAATATGATGAGATAAATATAGTCATGATGTATTATTCCCATTTTTTAGGATGCTAGTTTTCTGTTGTTGTTTATAAATATGGTGAACCTATATCCAGGTTTGCCCAGAACAGTCCTACTTTATACCTTTTATTCTAGCATAATTATTATTTATTCTCAGAAATGATACAATTTGTGATTGACTTTTTTGGAGCATTACAAACTTGGCTCATTGCATAAGTAAATAGCTACTCCATAACAATATGAGGTGATAGAGATGACTGTCATTTAAAGGACTTTGTCAAACAGTTGACAGGAGGGGAGGAATGTATTGCCTCCTTCCTCTTAAGCACACACCCCCAGACGTATATGAAGCCTTGCTCATAGCACAGAGGACAGCTCGTTGGCCATAACAGGTGTGGGTGAGGGGCAGAGGAGGTTTCATCAGTAAAACCAAGAAGGGGGAGATTCTGCAAATGGAGACGTGCTTAACGTGACTCCTGCAGCCATATCAGCAGGACTGGAAAGCATACGGGCTAAGCATGGTCTGGAATTTTCAGAATCAGTCTTAATTTCATTTTTTAATGAATCAGAAAGTAGTTTCCATTGTATTCAGTTTTTTCAGAAATACATTAGTGTGGTTTTATGCTTTCTGTTTAATAATAGAAAGATTAGCTAACACAATGCTCACTTTCAAAGGTTCTATTCTGAGCAGATTCCATATATTAACTCATTTGATTCTTGGTTGTGTTTTGTTTTTGTTTTTTGAGTTGGAGTCTCACTCTGTCGCCCAGGCTGGAGCGCAGTGGCATGTTCACAGCCACTGCATCCTCCACCTGCTGGGCTCAGGTGATCCTCCCGCCTCAGCCTTTCAAGTAGCTGGAACCATAGGCATGCACCACCATGCCTGGCTAATATTTTGTGTTTTCTTCTTCTTTTTTATATAACAGCTTTATTGAGGTATAATCCACACACCATACAATTCACCCACTGCAAGTGTACAGTTAAATGATTTCCAGTATATTCACAGAATTATGGAACTATTGCCACAGTCAGTTTTAGAACATTTTAATTGCTCCCCGGACAAACTCATACCTGTTAGCAGTTACTCCCCATTTTCC